CCAGAACAACTCATGCTTTCAGGCTGGTAGAATCTGACTGTTGGAGAATAATCAGTGGGCCAACTTGCAGAGTAAGGTGCTATTCATTGTGAATAACAGTGGCTGAATCTGACCCCAAGTAAATTATAACAAAAACAGGTCAGACTTGGAACACTAGGCCGGTCTCTACTGAAGAAACAGGCATGTGTTAGTTTCCAGATTTAGGCATACATCTCTCCTTCACCCCATTTTTTAAGAGATCATCTCCTTTTCTGATGGAGTCTGAGGATCTTCCCATGTTTCCCTCCCCCATTTTTCATGCTTTTAGCACACCCTACGTTTTCAAAACTCCAGAAGGAAGGACTGACCGAAATATAGAATAAAATACAATAGGCAGCAAAAGAAGAAACTAAGTGTAAGTTTAAAAACAAATATTTTACCCCTTAAAATACATAATGGGGTACAAACACCAATTCAAAGGAGATGATACACCCAGGTGGACCTTTAGAGTCTTATGTTCTAAATTGTCCCTTTATAGTAGTGCTTTTCTTCATGAGGTTGCTCATGATATCCCTTTTATGATTGCAGAGTCACAACAATACCTGTAGTAACTATTAGTTAATTTTTCAGAGAGGACAGCCAACCCATGTGTTTGTGTAAACAGTCTATGTATGTATTGCTAGATAGGAGGTAATTTGCATAGAACACTATTTTAAAAAGAATAGTAATGGTGGTAGCAATAAAGAATGTGTAAGTATATCCCTCAGTCTTTTGTCAGAAAGTCAAATTGTTTTTGTTTCCCTTAATTATTGTCCACAGAGCAAAACAGACATCCAGGTCTCCTGCAATAATCAGTTCAGTGAACTAAGAAGTTTATTGTTCCATTAGTATTCCTTGAACTTAATATTAAGCAAGCTAAGTACAATTTTACTACTTGGTAGCCTGGCACAGCTGAAGCATGAACGCACAGTACCCAAAGAACAATAAAGTTATAAATCAAAAGTTAATGTCAAGTCTTCCATGGCATCCCACTGCAACGTGAGAATATAAAATAGTCTTAATGCTACAGAACACTTACATTTCAGACACACACAATTAAAGTCATTAGTAAAACAGAATTTGGTAAGCAGAGAGAGGCTTCCAAGACAAGTGTTTTAAATTTCCAAAACACGTAGAACACAAGTAAATAAAGGGGATTTTAAACTTAGTTTGAATTACTTATTGTATTAGATAGTGTCTGAATTACCTGTAACAGCTTCACACCCCTCCTGGGTAACTTTAAAAAACCTTTCTAGTAAGCCATTTTGTTTATATCACTGGGAAGACTGGCACAAAAACAAACTTCTCAAATTAATCTACTCTTGTTACTTATCCCCTATCTGTTCAGCCTAACACAACAGCTCTGGAAGGACCACTTTAAAGGGTGAGGGAATAAATCTCTCTCCATTCTTTGGTCCCCCCGCTGAGCTTCCCAACAATTATGCTAAATTATGATGTGGACCACAAGTCCACTAGAAACTGAAGTTACTATATACCACCATCAACTCTGGAATGCTAGTTCTACAAAAACCTTGACAGGCTACATCAAGCTCCCTTCATCATCACTTTTCTTCTGATAATACAGAGATTTTCAGTGTTTCTGGACAGGTAAACATAGGTTGTATAGAATCAAAAACTCACCCCCTTCCTGAGGTTTGGCTATATTAAAGAAATTAATAAAATAAAGTTCATCTCAAGGCTTTTTCCCATGCTCTATTTCTTCTGAGGTTTCTATCTCAAGATTACTCAACATGCATCATATCTTCTCTTTTTTGTAGAGCCACACCCACCTCTATTATACCTGGGTGGAGTAATGAGCCATCTATTCAATGAGACAGTAGAATCAATGTAATCTTTTACCTGTAGACATCAGCAAGGAACACTGCCATTCTATTACAGGACAGTTCTAGCCTGACCAGTGATTCTATACAACATCATTATGGGGTTCCAATTCACTGTTTCTCACTGATTTCTTTTCAGTTTACAAAAAAATTGCCACCGTGCATGCCAAAGCCAAATTAGGTTCTTTCTAGCTCATGCATCATCAGTAATTAAGATTATTCAGGCCAATTCATGCCCTCGATTATACCTGTGCAAAGGTGTCTTCATATGATGCCTCAGTGACAACTGTGAATCCAAATGAGCTTTCAGTAGGTTAGCACAGGTAGCATTATGGGCATAGTAAATTACTGCTGATGATTATGAGTGAGATGGAAAGACCCCAAGATATGTTTGTGTGGGTGGCAATTGGGGGGGTGAGGAATCCTTTTACTTGTAAACTAAAGACATTTGATATGGAAAGCAGTGAGAAAATATGAATACTAAATCTCATATGTTATTAGAGCCACTTTTCAGGGGAGAACTGCACTTTAATGGTCATTAACCACAAAATCCTTGTCCAGCTGTAAGAATAATGTGAGGTATTAATAAGTGCAATAATACAAAACACTTTGAAGTAGTAAAGGTCACAACTTACAAATGCACATGCAAACTATAAGATGCCACTACATTAGGGAGAAACAACAGCCACAGTTGACAATTCAGAAAGACAGTGCAGGGATACAATTATAATCAGAGACTGATCTAGAGTAGTTTGGCTTCTAAAAGATAAGAATGAAATAAAATAAACAATCTGCCTCCTGAAACTTCATTAAAACCCTCCTGTTATTACGGTTATTGTGTTGGGGAGCTATTGCTATTCCCAGCACCTTGTAACAGAGAAACAATTTGAACCCACATCCCATTTAGAGATAAGCTGCATTTTTATAGTAAGTGTAAAATACAAAAAAAAGAACACCATGGCAGAAAAACAATGAGAACTTATTGACATTCTCAAAGGTGTTTTTGAAACATACCTTTTATAACATATCCAAGAACTATTGTAGAGAAAAGTCAAGCTATGGATCTTGCAGTGGGTGTTATGCGTGGAAAGAATGAGCATGACGCCTAGTTCGACATAAGATGGTTTGCTCCCCCATTGACTAGAAAGGAAGAGAATCTACTAGTGACTTGCAGGTGAGGTGAGAGAGAGATTAATATCTCTGGCTCCAGCACTGAGTCTATTATAGAGAATTAATGCTATTCAGGTCTCTACACTGAAACATTTAACAAAAGAACTCTCTTTCCCTTATGTCCTCTCCTTACTCACACTTATTGTATGAAGTGCTTTCTTCTAACAAGAGGAATGGGTGGCAGGATCCTACTTCGTCCTCTATTTAAAACTTGGTGCCAGTGAACTAGTGTTCAATGCAACTGTGACTGATCCTGCTCAAAAAATTGGTCTAACGTAGAGAGAGAAGTAGCAATATTGTCTGTAGAGCTCTTTGAAAGGTTTTTGAGTTTTCAGATAAAATGATAAATAAGTTTTTCAGAATTTGGTATGTAGGCTTCTTTATATGGAATACTGAAGCTTTCTATTCTGTTGACATTCCAGCGAGATTAATATATATGTGCTCACTAACATGTCTTTGACTTGTTCTGTAGAATCAACTATAGGGAGTGAGTTTTCATTCTCCACTCCCCCTCTATTCCCTAGTCTCTATACTGAGGCTACTTGATAAGGTCACTAATTAGCATCAAATGCAGTGTTTAAAGTTGTCTGAAAAAAGTGGTGGGAGCATCCTATCATAATCAAGATGTAGCAGCTTTGGTAAGATAGTGCTTAAGTACACACCTCAGCAATCCACTTTGCTTTTTCATTTTTGCCAGCTCTGTGACCCCTTGTGACACCCCACTACTCCCTTTACCCGCCCCACACACAATTTAAATGCTGGTCCAGTGTGATGGTGGATTTGTAATCTGGACACTTGTACACAAGTGATTGGATTTAGAGCATTAGTTATCACTGTTACAAACTGTAGATATCTTAACTAAAGAGTGGAGCTATTGGAAACTGACTGTAGGGCAAAATTCATGGACTCTTGCCATCCCAGTTAATGCAGATCTTAAGCTCAGAAACTTTATTTACAGACTAATCTTCTGTAGTATTGCATTTCCCACAGATTAGTTTATGGCCACCCCACCTCTATTTTATCATCTTGTAACTTCTCAGCATTCAACCTTAGGTACCACATCTCTCTTTCATTCTTGTTTCTTTCCTCACTTTCTGCCTGAAAACTTCATGAAATCCTGCCTCCATTCTATCTTCTTTTAAGTCAGCAAAGCTGTGAGAGGAGCATAGGTGTACTGAGACTCACACCATAAGTGCTTTGCAGCCCAAGATCATAAGAGCAAAGCAAAGCAAACTATGTAGCAAAACACACAATGGCAAGTTTTCCCACCTTGAACTCAGGTGCTTTAGGCCTAGACTCAGCACTCCCCACTGTTCTTGAAAAGCTATCACTGTACCCTAATTATTTCCAGCCTCGGGTTCTTTGTCTTCAGTTTGTATCGCCGTAACAGCAAGGTTCAGCTGAGTCGGTCTTTGATATCCCATTCATTTTACCAATTAACCCACCTTCTTGAAAGGAACTCTTTACATTAACAGCCTCCAGTCCTGTGAACAATCATCATCCAAATATCCAAAATAGTTTAGTCAATCTTGCCTCACCCGATTCAGAACAACTTCAGCATAAAAGATGCTCAGGCTGCCATTCTTGCATACTTTTAACAACAATTATGGCTCAGTGTTTAGATACTTGGGACTGAAAGTCGGAACTCCTGGGTTCTGTTCTTGGCTTTGCTACTGAGTTCAAGTTGGGTATGTCACTCTGTACTTCATCTCCCTGTATGTAATATAAATATAAACACTTTAGAGAGGTGTTAGGATTAATTAATTAATTATTGTAAAGCACTGTGAGATCATCTGACAAAAGGTAGTTACGTATGTCCAAAAAGTGTTATTTGTATTAAATGAAGTAAATATATGGTCCCTCCTTTCCCCATTGCATTAGGGGGGCATAGTTAACTTGAAATCTAAACAGCTTCAAAGAACAAGTTAAAAGTAGTTCTTTGAATGGTCTCTGTATATTCCTTTTCATAAGATGCACCAACAGTGCAGCCTGAACCAGTCTAGGATGCACCATTGGCATACCATGTGAATGTGAAAAGTCCATCACAAAAGCCTCCAATTACAGGTGAGTAACCTCCGTTTTCAGACACTATTATTATTTAATATATATAGCACCATAGCGTGTAGAGGCCCCGTTTGGAATTGGGACTCCATTGTGCTAGGCACTGTACAAATACAAAGTAAAAAAAGGTCACTGTATCAAAAATCAAGTCCCCCTGCCAATGTTCGTAGTTGTACAATCACATTTTCTATTTTAATAAAAGCTTTTTCTTTCCCCTCTTGGTGTGTGAAAGACACGTATACACTTGCACCAAAACCACAAATTAAATAAACTAGAAAATAAAAAATATGTTCTCTCTAATCTCTGGATTTATTTGTAATAATAGTCTGGGTTTATTTGTAATAATATTTGTAATAATTTTTTTAATTGACCGTGTCCCAAAATTCCCTGCCCATGTTTTCATTATTTCCATCTCCCCTTGACATAAATTATCTTGTGGGGCAACTGATGTCCTATTTATAGATAATAAAATCATTATCAGACAAGATTCCACCATCTTCCTATCTATCTAAATTTATATTGTCTTCTTTAATCTAGGTATTAAACTCATCACTGTTATCTCACTGCTTTATAAGCAAACTAGTCTAGAACCAGTAGTTCTTTGCTGATTGGTTCTCTCAATCCCCTCTGCCCTATGAAAGAGAGGGATGGTTTCATACTCCTTTGAGGTTTTTTAAAAACAGTTGTGGGAAAGCTATGGTGAGAAACTGGGCTCTTATTACCTTGAATCTCTTATTTGCTCCTATTGTCAGGAACCTGAAATTTGACTCACCCTGAATTTCTGCATAAAATCAAGCTGGACAATGAGAATGCACACAGTAAGACCTCAGTAAGCTTAGCAAAACCAGCCTCTTCTGGGTCCAATGTTGCACTGAAAAAAATGGTATCATAAACTGTGGCTGTATAAATAAAATGATGAAGGTGTTGGGGCTCCTTAAGGTTAGCTATATTTTCACGTACCCAGTTAGGAAGTTTTTGTTTACCATGTTTTCTTAGTATGTCATGTATGGATAGTAATCTGGTTTAATGCTCCTTTTTTTATTATTATCTTTTTGAGCAGGGGTAGGGTTTGTACAATTACAAATTGTAACTGCTGTAGATTTGTTTTTCTTTAGAGGTGCTCAGATACTACAATGATGAGCACAGTACAAGAACCTAATAGAATACAATAGAATTTTGGAATCTTATATTATTGTTCTAGAGGTAAAATCTAATCCCCTGTGTCGAAGACCTACAGCCTGGTGACTGTACCTATATGACTTCAATTACTGTGTTATCAGCCTATATTAAATAAAAATGTTCACCTTCCTAAATGCATTATTATTCCAAGTGGTTTGAGCACTCAATTATGACCCTGCTCTGACACTAATAGCCTCTGTGGTTTGAGGCTTTTCTTTCCCTTTTTTCCATTTCTTTATTAACTTTTCTATTTCTTTCTTTTCATCTCCTTCTTCCATTGTCTTCTTCTCCCTCCACTTCCTTTCTTCCATGTTACAACTATTCTCTCTGTATATCTACATTTTATTTATTCTATCTTTGCACCCTGCATTTCTTTTTTGAAAAAAAAAATCCTCAGTTTTATACAGATTGACAAAGCATCTTTTTTTCTTCGAATCTTTCCTTTCTCTTTTCATTACCCTCCACCCTTCTCTTCTCTCCCTCACTCCTATACTTTGTTATACATTCCCTACTCCATAGCTAATTACTGAACCTTGTTTCTCCATCCTTGCTCTCCTCTTCAGGCATCTTCATTTCTTTCAACCTATTACTCAATTCCCCCACTGTTCTACTTCTTGGGCTCATCCATCTCTTTACTCCTTTATACCCCTTTATATGTTATCTGTCCCCTTTTTCCCTCACCCATCCTAAAGAAAGTTCTTCCTCACCCTTTCAACTCTTCTCTTTCCCACCCTCTCTTGAACCACCAGCCTTTCCTGGGCCATCTCTACAATTTCTCCCAGCCACCTCCCAATCACTACGTAGCAGCACTGAGGAAATTAAGGCCTCCTCTCTCTCACCCCCATACTGCAGCACTGGAAAGAGACTGGCTCTATGATATATAGCCTTCCTCTCTCTTCCAACTGTCACAACTGTCCCTCTATTGCAGTTGTCCTGCCAAGTTGTCTATAACTGTTACCAGTTGCCACAGATTTCCCTCCAATTGCCACAGGTTTCCCTTCAGTTTCGGCTATCACCAGCTTCCACAGTCACCAGTTGCCATATGTTTTCCTCCAACTGTCTTTAGGTATCACAAGTGTCTCTCCAGCAGACAGTCAACAGCTGCCACTTGTGTTCCTCCAGCTGGCACTGTTACAGATTTCTTTCCAATTGACATTCTGTCAGCAATTCCCATGTCCCAACAACTCACAGTGCCACAGACTTCCTCCTAAATGCCATTGTCATCAACTACCATGTGTCCCTCCAACTGCCACTCGTTGCTTCCAACTGCCACTAACACCAGTGGCCATAGGTGTCCTACATACTTCCACTGTCACCAACTGCCACAGGTTACCCTCCAACTGCCATTAACCGTCATCAGCTACCACAAGTGTTCCTTCAACTGACACTGTCACCAACTATTGTTAGTGACCCACACGGTCACCAACTACCACTTCCTGTCACCAAATGCCACAAGTCCTTTCAACTTTGCCACCAATTGCCACACTGTCACCAATTGCCACAGGTTACCCTCCAACTGCCATTAACTATCATCAGCTACCACAAGTGTTCCTTCAACTGACACTGTCACCAATTACTGTAAGTGACCCACACGGTCACCAACTACCACTTCCTGTCACCAAATGCCACAAGTCCTTTCAGCTTTGCCACCAATTGCCACACCGTCACCAACTGCCACTTATATCCAACTTCCACTGTCTCCAACTGCTTCTGTCATCAACTGCCACTGGTTGCCCTCCTACTGTCCCAAATGCCATACTGTCAAACTCACATCTGCCACAACTGTCCCTCCACTGTCATCTAATGCCATTATCATGGGTTTCCCTGCAACTCCTGTTAACTGACACAAACTTCCACACAGATATATTCAGTCAACACACACACTGAGAGGAAGCTTCATCCAATCTTCTGACACTTAAGGGGCCAATGGCTACACTATAGATCCCCCTGAGCGACATAACTTATGCCAACTTAAGAGCTGGGGAAGAGCTCTCTCCTGTCGGCTTAGAGTGGCTATCCTAGAGAGCTTACAGCGGCCGTAAGCTCTCTAGGGTAGCCATAGCCTTAACTAAGCTTACAGGGGCATTACAAGTGCAAGCTGTCATATTTCTTTTCACTGATCTATGATCTCTGTCCTTTGTCATCCAGAAGCTGCTGAGGTAATTCAATAGCACAAATTTATGGCCACACTGAGTTTATTATTGTGTGTCTCCCTTCCAGTGTGAAGCTTATGCCACTTTGTTCCATTCCTTTTTACCTTAATTATTACCCCCACATGACAATGCCTGCTCTGACAGGGAGTGATGGTCTTTTCCTCTCTATTGCTTTAAAACAGAGAGTTTAAAACTACTGTGATCACTTTTTCTGGTACAGGATGGAACACTGGAATCACAAGTCTCCAGGAAGGCTGGAATCACAATGGCAGGAGTCTTCTGGTGTCTGCCTGTTCATGAGAAACAAAAGGAGGTGGACTGAAGAAACTGGAGGCCCATAAGCCATCATCACACTTCTACAAATATGTAAGATTGGAAATGAGGACTATTGGATCAACAGTATTGTGAAGACTGGGGACACAGACTGAAAGAGGAAATACTTGATTCTCCAGACGTGGCTACATTTTCTTCACTATCTTATACGGAATAATGAGCCCTGATGCCTCTGAACTGACTTCATTATTAGATTTTCATTATTTCTGCTTGCCCTATTTTTTGCAGTTTTAACTTTTCCACAGACCTCAGTTAGATGCACCTTAAATGAATATTCTCATTTAGGAAAGTTTCTAATTGGTAGCTTTCAAGGATATAGGTATTTAAAATCAGCCTTGTTGTGCTTCAGTATAGTTATATCTTCTATTTAGAACCAGGTTATGGGAATCTAATCAAAACATCAATAGAAAGGTTTTTAATACCAGAAAACATTGATCAAATTTAAAAGCAACTTTTATTTTCAAATATGTTGTTTTTTAATTCACATATCATATTCAGGTTTTTTATTTTGTACATTTTTACATTTAATTACAGGACTTCATCAGTGAAAATTGTGTGTGTGTGTGTGTGTGTGTGTGTATGTGTGTGTGTCACATACTTGTGTATTCCAGGCTCGGAAAAGAGATGTCTGTGCTCTTCATGCTGAAAGATGTCTGCTCTCCATGCTATATCAACCATAAAGCACTGTGATAAAGGGGGAGAACTGCTCTCCAAGTCATGGAGCACAGCACTGCAGTGCCTTGGGGAAGGGGAAGAAATCTGTGCATGCCATTTAACGTGGGCCTACAGGCCCTGTCCCTGTTGTAGAGCTTGTGGAGGGCACAAAGACCTTTGAGGGATCTGTGCACTCTATATTGTAGGTCAGGGATCGGCAACGTTTGGCACGCGGCTCGCCAGGTTCGGCCGATCGCGGCCCCCACTGGCCGCGGTTCGCCGTCCCGGGCCAATGGGGGTGGCGAGAAGCGGCACGGACGAGGAATGTGCTGGCCGTGGCTTCCCGTTGGCCCGGGACGGCAAACCACGGCCAGTGGGGGCCGCGATCGGCCGAACCTGCCGTGTCAGCAGGTAAATAAACTGGCCCGGCCCGCCAGGGTGCTTACCCTGGTGAGCCGCGTGCCAAACGTTGCCGACCCCTGTTGTAGGTCACTCCATATTACAGGGCACTGGAGGGCACCACAGTCCCTGAGGGGACAGCTCTTCCTGCTGTAGGGCCCTGGGTGAGTCTCTGCTTACTGTGGCATTGAAGGGAGCATGGGGGTCACTACAGACCTTGGCTAGGGAGGTGAGGTCCATGCTCTCCTTGTTATAGAATAGTGTTTCTCAAACTTTTGCATTGGTGACCCCTTTCACACAGCAAACCAATGAGTGTGTTGCCAGCACAGAGTGCCCGAGGCAAAGCAACAGCGGGTTCGTTGCCAGGTGTGCTTCGCGCCAATAAACACACCAGGGGGAGAAGCAAACAAAGTTTATTTGGGATCCCAAAGCGGTGCTAGGAGACAGGCACGTCTCAGATCAAGCACACTAACAGGAACAGTTTTTCTTCTTTTATACATTTTGCAGTTAAGCCTCACCCCCCCCCCATTTCCCCTCTAGCCCTCCCTTTCTCCCCCCCATTCCTCCCTCTACCCCTCCCGTCCCTAGTAATAGTTAAGTCATTCTTGGCAGCTATAAGCCTCGTTTGTAGTAACTTCTTTAAACCATTATCTTGTCCTTTTTCCCTTCAGCCAGAAACATGCAGGCTTCATTATTACCGCTTGAGCAGGGGGTTGCACACAGATAACTGGTTGCTTATTCCAATTGCACCTGGCTTTTGAGGTTGATTAGAGTTTAAACATGGAAGGATAGAGTTTGGTTCACTTAGGCCTAATGCAGGAAGGCTTCATTGACACTTAGTGGCCTTCCACCCTCCCGGGTTACCTACGGTGATGCCTAGTGACGTCAACAAGTGCAAACCCATGAGTGCAAACCCCCCCCCCCATAAATTAAAAACACTTTTTTTGTATTTAACACTATTATAAATGCTGGAGGCAAAGCAGGGTTTAACCCTTGTGACCCCCTGAGAGGTCACAACCCCCAGTTTGAGAACCCCTGTTATAGAGCCCTGGAATCTCTGCCTACTGGAATCCTGAAGGATTAAGCAAGGAGGTACTCCAGGGCCTTGAGGCGTTTAGGTCTTCCTATTGTGGCCCTGCAGCTCTCTGCGGGAGGCTTCTGTTTTGTCTCTACTGCAGAGCTCTCAGGGCCTTGCGGTGCTGTAGAACTGGAGGGGGGCACTGTGGGGCCCTGGGTGGGAAGTGGAGTGCTCTGTATTCCCAGCCGCAGAGTGCACTGCTGGTATGGGGTCCACAGGGCCCAGGTACCTACAGTCCATGTTGCTATCTCTGGTAATCTCATAGCGTGTCTTGTGGCATCCTTAAAGACGCAGCTTCTGGAGCGATGGCAAAAGATGAGAATTTAAATGTTCAGAAGGAAGTGTCTAGCCCTTGCAATTGCGATTGCAGAGACAAGCTGGAGGGATGTGACCCAAGTGTCACCTCAAAGCTTAACCACCAGATGGCAAACAAAGAGACCCCCAAACGTATCATCTTAAGAATCTCATGATTTGGGGGGCCTGACTAGCAATTGTTTAATGCTTGTGGTGGGTGGGCTTCTCACCCTGTGGTCCTAGAGCACAGGAGGGTCCCAAAAAGGGGTGTGTCTGTACCCGCTGCAGGAGCGCATGCTGACAGTGGACTCCTGCACAGCCTTACGCTTTGCCCTGCGCCGGCATCGCAGCTGGGTCAGGCGGGGGGGGTCCCAGCACGCGCTCTCTGCCCCGGGGCGCAGGGAGCCGGCGCACGTGGCACCCACTGCCGGCAGGATCACGTGACTGCCGTCTGACCCTGTCTCTCCCGTCTGGTCAGTGATGGAGAGAGGCGCATGCGCGATGTCGCACCAGCCCCGTCTCCCTCCGCCCTATATAAGGCGCAGACAGCGGCGGCGGGGCTCCCGACTCCGCAGTGTGTGAGGGGGCGAGGCTGGGCGGGCGGTGCAGCTACCTGAGCGGCCTCTCCCCCGCGTCTAGCCAGGGCCTACGCCGCCGAGCGGAGCCACCCGCCTCCTGCCGCTTTCTCCTCAGCCCCTAGCCAGGCCGCGCGGCCGGCCCCGGCGGAGCCATGAGCTCGGGCACCCCCTACATCGGGAGCAAAATCAGCCTCATCTCCAAGGCGCAGATCCGCTACGAGGGCATCCTCTACACCATCGACACCGAGAACTCCACCGTGGCGCTGGCCAAAGGTGAGGGGCGGCCGGGCGGGCATCCTCCGCGCGGCGGCGGGGGCGGCTTCTCCCCACAGACCCGGCCCGGTGCGGGACGGGGAAGTCGGGCCTAGGCAGCCGTCCCGCTGCTCGATGGAGAATTGGGTTGCGGGGGGTCGGTGGGGACCTGGTAGGGGGCGGGACGGCGGAGGCACTCAGCGTCGCCTCCCCGCTCGCCGAAGGGCTCTGCGGAACGACGTGCCCGGGCCCATTGACGCGGAGACGGCTGAGCTGCGGCCGGGAGCCCTGCCGCGGCTGGCCACCCCCGGACTCGGGGGCTGGGGGCCCCGGCAGCGCCTCCCTGCCGTGGCTCCCTCCCGATGTTGCCTGGACCTCGGCTTCAGTCCGTGTTAAATCTCTCGCCGTGTCTGGGATGCTCTTTCAGCCCCCACACGCCTGAACAATGAGCCGAGGGAGGTGTAAACAGGCAGCAGCTGGAGCCAAGCTGCTCTGCAGGGGTGGTCTGGCGAAAGCCCCAGGGACCCCGCATCTTAGTTCAGTCTGGGGCTGGCTGACTCCGGCTCCAGCTCTGAAATACCAACCGGCCCAAGCTCAAGTGCGGAGGCAGACTGAGGAGCAAAGCCTTAATTACAGCCGGGGCTGGTTCATTTAGCTGTGGCCTCTTTCATGATTCAGCATTTGATTAATTACTTTACAGTGCCAGAGCGATCTCCTACAGTATTGTGAGCCTGGCCTGTAGTGCAAATTGTCAAATGCAAGAAAGTCAAATGTTCACAAGAGAACTAACTGCTGGATATACTGCACCTTACTTGGAGGCTGGTGGGAATATTACAAGGCCGCCTTTGGACACCTGTTTAATTTCTCAAGCATAGTGTAGTAATTCAGCTTTTTTTGTGATGAAAAATTGTGAAAGAGTTGCTAGTATCTGAAGTTCACCTGTTAGTCTTAAACAGCCCCACTTCTTTCTCTTACAATAATTTAGTCATAACATTCTGTTCTAACAATTGAATTGATTTTTACTGCCCTACTTCATATGCTTTCTATTACTTGGATGATAAAATAATTCTGCAGTGTTTGGATTGGGTGAGTAACAGATCAGAGTGTTTGTGGAATTAGAAGAATCTTAATTTCTATTACATTTTTTGTATAAAATAATGTACAAACCCTAAATCTTGGTTCCTCATTTTAATACTTGTGATCAAGAATTGGACTACGTTCAAACTGAATAATGCTCTGAAATAGTAGTCTCTTGTGCAGTGCCCTTAAATCCTATGTATAATCCTCAGTCTGTTTACCTGGTTTTTTGACACTGCTTTTCTGGTTTTCCTATCTTGCAGACTGCTTCGTCACTTACTCCTTATTTTGCTATCTGTCCTTGGGCATACTGATCTTGATTCTCTCCTAGTCTTTGGCTGTCCTTATTTTCATCTACCACCTACACAAGTGACTCCCAAACTTGCTTCTGTCTAGAATCTTAGTTCTGTTTGCCATCTCATACAGTCTCTCAAACCAGATTTCTTCCATGCTGCTTTTCTAATCATGCCACTATCCTTCTCCTATTTCCAGCCTCCTGTCTCAGTGTAAGCTTTGGTTTTCTTCGTCTCTGCCGTGTATCTTTAATTTTGTTGCCTTCTCGATCGTCACACTTCACAGTCTCCTTATTTTCCTAATGGGGGAAAAGACTTTGTGCCTTCGTAATGTCTAACTTTCCTCATCAGCACTCCTTCCTCTCCAGTCTGTTGAAAATGTTACTTCTAAAATCATTGAACTCTGCCTGTGTCTCAAACTTTAATCCTTCTACTAGCAATCTCTTACGGCATCAGATTCAAGGACCTCATCTTTTTGTCTTTCCATACTGGGAAGTATTCAGGGGATCCAGGCAATCTTTCCTGGTCCACAGTTCTTATGTGCCGAACTGCAGATAAAGAAAATCTAACTTGGATGTTTGAAACCTACTTAAAATGAGTTTATTTTGAATTTCAGATATCTGACTAACTTCAAATAATGAGATGTAGCTGAGCAGGATTTACCTCCACATAAGCATGCCTGTGTCTAAAGCTATGTACTTCATCACATCCTTTACAAAGCCTGAGTAACAGATTGTATGTAAGGAAGCTAGGAGAAGAGAATGGAATTCAGTTGGATCCCAACACCGCTGTCTGTCAGCTGGAACAGCAGGGCTATGGCTGCTTTGTCCTTTGAGTAGAGGTCCTAGCATCCATATATACACAAATGCAATTTTTTTACCTTTATCCTGTCTACACTGCTGATTCAGAGC